TGAGGGCACTGCCATGGTTGACCGCCAAAGGCGACGGGGGGACACGGGGGAAAAGGAAGGTGTCATCAGCGCTTACGTGGCAACACTCCCTCAGACAGCGCGCAGGTAGCGCCCACCCCACCGGGGCAGGACGCGCCCGTGCTAGCTTCGTACCGTCACGGTCGGCGTCAGATTTTACCCTACGAAGTACGGTGTCGCATCACAGGGGTGGCCCCAGTCTTCTCTTGCACAACACTGGCGGACACCACCGGCACCAAGGCAGAACACCAAGGCGGATCCGTGTTAATTGTGCGTGGCAGCCTCCTTACTCCCGTCGTCTCCGCGCGCCCAGTCAGAAATACTAGCGACGTTCTCGTCCGCGTGTATCAGCTCAAACTGTGCTTTTCAATAATGTCATGTCGTGGCATCACAGAGGGCGCGCAGTTAGGCAAGGCGGCACAGCGCGTGGTGCGGACGCCCAAAAGGAACGGTAAGAAAACCAACAACGACGGAGACAAACAAACATGCATCAACACAATGACAGAAACATGACGCTCAGTAACGTGTCTTTCTCAAGTCCACACGCGACATAAAACAAAGATCGCTCAGACAATCAAACACAAAAAAGAAATGCGATTATACGCACTCATCGGTTCCCACTTTTTTTTTCTTTTTCTCTTCGCTGGCATTCTCGTTTTTTCTTCTTGTAATTCCGCAGCCACCAGGGCATGCGCTCCACAAGAATCGAGAAATATAATAAAAAAAAAAAAAACAAAGAAGAAAACTTACCCTCCTCCCTATTGTATTGGGTTCCCCTTGCACACCACACTATTTCCTTTTCCCCCTTCATTTTAAGGACTCCGCGCCTTTATCGTGAATGCGCCGAAAATAGATTGAATCCTTCGTCTCTTGAAATAACCCAGAGAGGAGAATGCTAACAATAATTAATGAATAACTCAACAAAAAACCATTTATCTTCTCTTCCTTCTTCCTTTCCTCCTTCAACTAATTCGATCGCCCGTACCTCGGCCTACATCGCGGCACACGTCTTTCCCCACCTAGCGAGGATGTAAAGGAAAGCCTTGACCCACAATGAGAGGGGGACTGCATTGGCGAGTCGTATGAATGAACACCCACACACCCACCCGTCAATGCAGCCACGCAAGTTGCGCGCCATCGCATCATGTTCATATGTTGTCGCTCATAGTGACCCCCCAAAAAAGAAGCATTAAACCAGCAAACTAATGAACAGAGAAATCAAACAAAAATACTTAAAGAAGTACAAAATGTAATTCGATACTCTTAAAGCGCGTCCAACGCGGTCTTGAGCGCCTCAATTAAATCCTTTGCCTCTTCGATACCGCATGAAACGCGAATGAACCCATCAGTTATTCCAACCTTCAGACGATCTTCCGCTGTCATGTTAGCATGCGTCATTATGGATGGACACGTAATGATGCTCTCCACAGCACCAAGGTTTTCGCAGAGAGACCAAGGACGCGGCACCGTATCCATGAGCTTCCGTCCCGCCGCCGTGCCACCCTTCACCTCAAACCACAGCATGCCACCGTGGTGGTTGTTGGCATGCTGACGGTCAGCAAGCGCCTTCTGAGGAAAACTCTTTAGGCCTGGGTACATCACCTTATCCACAGCAGGGTGAGTCTCAAGGAATTCTGCCACTTTTTGCGCATTCTCGCTCTGCCTCGCCACGCGCAACGACATCGTCTTGACCGTCTGAAGCTGCAAGTATGCAACAAACGGGGACATTTGATTGCCAAGAATATTCTGTGTAAGTCGCACTTTTTCATCCAAATCCTTCCGTTTCGTTACAAGCGCACCTCCAACAGTCATGTTGTGCCCATCCACAAACTTTGTGGTGCTGATGAGTGTCACATCAACACCCAAATCGAGTGGTCTCATAATAAAGGCTGTTGCAAACGTGTTATCGCACACGTGAAGAAGGCCCTTCGCCTTACAGAGCTTCGAAAGCTCGGGCAAGTCCGTGAGCGTCAAGGTGGGATTTGCGGGAGTCTCAGACAAAACCAGTTTCGTGTTCGGCTTGATTGCGGCTTCGACGTTCTTTACGTCGCGCATATCAACAAACGTGAATTCCAAGCCAAGACGCGAAAAAAACACACGACAGGCACGGTTTGTGCCACCATAACTGCAGTCCGTCACAATCGCATGGTCACCCGCACTCATAAAGGAAGAGATAGCCGTAGTTGTTGCAGACATGCCGGTGCTGTACAACGTAGCATAATCGCCATTTTCAATGGCGCAAAGTTTCTTCTCCAACGCCGACACCGTCGGATTGGCGCAACGGGTGTAGCTGTAGCCCCTCCGCTGGTAGAGTTCAATTGACTCCTGCACAAACGTAGTGCTTTGATACAGCGGCGTCAGCACCGCCCCCGTCACAGGATCCGGCCTCACACCTCCATGCACAAGAAGTGTGTCAAATCCCTGAGGGGAAGAAAGCCAAGAACCCGACCCCTCAGTAAAATCAGACACCAAATTCTGTTCAGCTGACATTTTATTTTCCTTAACCTCGGAAATATATACAAAAAACGAAACGAAATACAACAACCTACAAAAACAAATCTATAAAAAAACATGAAAAAGAAAAAACATAAAAAAAATAAAAAACAATCCACCAGACCAAATATAATCGAAACTCAGTATTACCAACAACAACCACTTCTTGGCATCACAGAGGGCGCGCAGTTAGGCAAGGCGGCACAGCGCGTGGTGCGGACGCCCAAAAGGAACGGTAAGAAAACCAACAACGACAGAAACAGCAGTGGAGTTACCCGACGGCGGTGAAGTCCACCAATAACCAGACAGCAGAAGAGAAGGAAGGAGGGAGGGAGGGAGGGAGGCAGAAAAGGGGATTGCCGTACGTCTGTCAGAGTGGTGCATGATGATGTCTCATTCAGTGGCTCATGAGATATACTTTACCTGAATATCGTGTTATGCATCAGTAACGCCGCAATAAGTACACAAAGGGAGCTCGAGGGGAGACAGGAGCTCGCCTCTCCTCCCTGCATCCCAGTAACGTGCATCTCGTGCCTCTTGAACCTGCAGTGCTGACGGGATCGCAACC